ACAGATGGTCTGGTCAAAAGTGTCTAAAAAGTTCAAGGGGCTTAACACGAATGCAGGGGTCTGCGCCAGAAAGCACAGGGAACCAAACGAACGCATGTTCATCGCAAGTCATCGAATAACAGCGAATACAGGCGTCCAAAAGATGGCATTTTACGAGCCGCCATCTACGGAGACGAGTGTTGTTCTCCGTGCCTCCTTCAGCATGGCGCAAACCGCGAGGTGGGCAGCACATGACTTGGCAGAAAGGCTTGAAAGAGATCACGAAGATTTTGGGTGTTGTTGGTGTTGTATACCTTCCAGGATGGGGTCCCCGTGACCCCGTCTGTGCTTGGCTAGAGACGTAGCAAATGGCGGGTAATCGATGTCAGTGGCGTTCGTGCTGTCAGTTTCCAGTTTGCTTGAGCGGTTGGAGGTGTAGGCACCTCAGTGCTAGGTACCCTCCTTCGTCCACCCTTTTCTCTTTTCACTCTAGGGTTTTTAATATAATTATATATATATATATATATATATATATATAATTAGGCGAACCTTATGGTTGTACGGCAGTGAAGCATCAGTGTCGTCACGTTGCTTGCTGTCTTTGATGATGATGATGAGGAAGAGGAGCCATCAAAATTTTTGACGAGAGAAAAACCTACGTCCTCTGAAGGTTTTCCGAACTTTGATGATGATGATGAGGAAGAGGAGCCATCAAAATTTTTGACGAGAGAAAAACCTACGTCCTCTGAAGGTAAAGTTTCCGAACTCTCAAGGACCCTTGCAAACAAATAGCGGGTCTCGGAAGTATCAAAGCAAGAAGCAAAATAGTACGTTTCAGAGGCCCTTCAAAGCCCTGGACCCAAACCCGGCATAGAACTATTAAATCTGCTAACCTCTCTGGCGGCACCTCTCCGATCCTCACTTTCGGGCGCAGCAGAAATAGTGTTGAATGCTTGTTCACAAACTGCCTCAGTCTTTTAAAAAAAACATAGACTTGTCTTGAACAGCCGTCCGTATTTGCATTTACAAAAACCTAGCTCACACCGGACGTCTCTTCCCCGCAGATTTCCATAAGCGCGTGCTCCATTTTCCTAGCTGACTCGAAACAATGGAGGGCAGGTGGGGTTGCCGCCCCACCTACCCCGACTGTCCTCTCCGACGCCACTCCAGCACCTTTTTATGATGTACCGTGGATTCAAATCCCGCTGCATGTGACCGATTATTTTCCCGGCGTGGCCTGTCGTTGCCCCTCACATCCACCGGAAGATGACCAATTTCTCATACAAACACTTGAGTAGCTCTCCTCCAGCTACCACTTCGCGCATCTCCTGGTCGGTGATTTTAATGCTCCTGAGGCCTCCTGAATGGAGTTCTGGTGTATTGGGTCTGATAGATATTTTTCATTGACGCTGACCAAAGTCGTTCAGCAGAGCGCTTGGACTCAACACGTCACCTCACCCACTTGGTGCCGCGCCAAATACCACCCCTCACATCCACCGGAAGATGACCAATTTCTCATACAAACACTTGAGTAGCTCTCCTCCAGCTACCACTTCGCGCATCTCCTGGTCGGTGATTTTAATGCTCCTGAGGCCTCCTGAATGGAGTTCTGGTGTATTGGGTCTGATAGATATTTTTCATTGACGCTGACCAAAGTCGTTCAGCAGAGCGCTTGGACTCAACACGTCACCTCACCCACTTGGTGCCGCGCAGACCAAATACCACTACTACTGGATTTAGTTATCACTAACGGAAGACACTTCGTTGATCAAGTGTCAATTAAGGCTTCACTGGAATGTAGTGACTACTATGTGTTGACCTTTGATTTCATCTGGTACTGGACCAGCAACACTGAACCTCAAACGTGCAACTCAGTTGGAACCAGTTTCAGCGGAGGCATACAGAACCACTGTCCAAAAGATTCACGAGCCTGGCGCTATGTTTGTTCCGAAAAACCAGCGCGCAGTCGGACAGACCAAGAGCTACCCAAAAGGATTCGGTGACTTCCGTAAACGAGGTCCCAGCTATTTTATAAAAAAAGCTGGCCACGGGAGATACAGTAGATGAGCTGCCATTTCGTAGATCGGGAATCCGCTAATGGAACATACGAAAACAGGCCACGATACTAGACCTCGCCCGGAAGAATAAAAATGTACCATGTAAGTATATGAGACACCACCAAAGAAATAAGCCAGCACCTTCTCCTTGATAGACAGAAAAGTGGAACCCACGAGTGACCCAAGAATGGTAACTGAAACCTACAGAAAACATGTAGGTCTCGTTATATCCAATCTTGTCAAGACTGCTAGCCGACTTAGTCTTCCCGGAGGAGGACGTTCGTCAACTCTTGCAGAAGACAGACCCTTTAAACGCTTAGGGGCCAGACGATTTCCATCCAAAGATCCTGAAGAAACCGTCACTCACACTGGCAAAGCACTTATACCTAGTGTTTCGCCAGTCACTCGACGAAGGCACCCTTTCCTCCACAAAACTGGCGACCGCCTAACTCGGAGCAGGCCTGTTAGCCTCAATGGTGCTAGGTGATAGAACCCTTCTAAAGCTTGACATTTTTGAGAACCTTATAACTTAATGTCCCCAGGGCAACACGGAATCGCCACAAACCGCTTTTGCGTTTTGTGTCATTATCATAGACACATCGAAATCACTCTTCAAACCCTTATATTTAGTTCATCTGGCGGTTTTGAAAGTAAACCGGACAACAACCCGTTCTTGAACATATGCTGGACTCGATCTCCATTGATGTGAGCCTCTCTGGAACCGGGAATCAAGACCCCAGCATGGTTTTTGAACCGACTGTTTTATCGGTTTCCTCTCGCTTCCGGTTGTGTACCTCTGGTATCCATAAGACGCTGTGGCTAGTTCTTCAGACGTTAGCATTATTTTGGGCTGCTGAACTGAAGGGTCTCTGTTCGAATGGTTGCCCATCGATAGTCGTCTATGTGCGGTTCGTTTGGCAGCGTCAGCGATTGTTGTGATTGCCAGGGGCATGAATGCGCAAGCAGGTCGCCTTAGCGCCTCTGAGGCTCAATGGGATGTTTGCCTTGGACTGGAATCGAGACGCACAAACAACGGTGGATGCCTGCTGCAGTTGTGTATTGACCACGAACTGTTTCTACGCAGCACTGACTTCCGAAGCCACGGACACCCCTTGACCACGTGGTCTCCCACGCAAGCGAACCAACCCCCAAAACTCGTACACTACATTGCCATTAGCTATGGGTGATGTGGGTCAATTGCTAATTGTCACTTGTTCTAGAATGCCTATATAGTTCAAATCACTCATTTGTTCGCTACGCTTTTCGGGGGCTCACAGTGCGCCTGGCCATTGAGAAGTTGTCGGACCTCTGTCAGAATCATCTACTGCAGTCCCTGTTGGACAATACTTCTGATGTTGACCCTCACTGGAACTGCTCTGAGTAACCCTGCTAGATGCTGGATGCTCCGTTTGTGAAACAGTGCAACAATCTATATTTAGTCACTAGTTCTCGAGCAACACAAACTGATCGAGCTAACACTTATAACAACGACTCTCCTATCTCCAAAAAGAAAACATGAATCGTTGGATTGAACACTCAATAACAAGTAAACCTGCCATCTGCAGTTGCTCACTCCGATTTTAGACCCGCAACGCAGTCCTGGGCAGTGAATTTGGAACCCCGATGGCTTCGGAATAAGTGAAAACCTTTCCTCTCTCAAACGTTACGGGGTTGCTGACCCTTAAAAATTACCAGTTGCTTTGTTTAAATACGTAGGTGGAATCTTCTGTCAACACCTCTGCCTAGGTGAAGGATACAACTCCACCCAATTGGGAGGAGTCGATAGTGGTGCCCGCCTTCAAGGTTTTTCCCACTGATTGTGACAATCAAGGCGGAATTAACTTGATACCCCTCGTGACCAGGCTTCTTGCGTCGCTTATTTTATGTCACGTGGAAGATGGGACCCGGGATCAGAAAGCAGGATTTTGGTCTGGAATGAGCTATGTGATCCACATCTTTACATTCCGTCAATTGGCATGTGTACAGGCGCCCTACATCTTGATATTCATTAACTTCAAAGGGGCTTTCACTTGTGTGAACCAGTTCATTATTTCCAACACCTGTGCCCCAGAAGTCCGTGAATATCATATACTCTTCGTCTTCACATACTTATGGTAGCGTGAGAGCGTACGTAGAGCTCTCGGAAAACTCTTTAAGCAGTGGTGTCCGACAAAAGCATTGACTGTTTTTGTTTTAGTTCGTCAGTTCAAACATCTCGACTGCTCCTGTCCAATCTTGGATAACGTGGCAGTATCTCGACCCACTTGTCCCCTTTAGTTGATGTGACAGTTAATCACCGACATGGTGTTACAGCGAAACGATAACTTATTTCTCATTTAATTCCGTTATGGATGATGTAATGAGGTTGACTCTGGAAGGCTTATAAAACCCCGATATCCACATTTGCATGAATACTGACTGTACCGACCACCCATGCTGAACGTGCCGCTAAGAATTTGGGGAGTGATACTGAAAGTTGGGAAACAGTGTATGTGTCACGGAAGTTGCATTAGCTCTGACCGTACCATGGCAGGTGGGGTCAACGCCCTAATCTCAAAGGCCGCAGTTGAGTTTGCTGGTTTCCGTCACATGAGACATCAAAACGGCATGCCACTGGGTCTTAAAGGACGCATGTATTGAAATAGAGCGTATCGTTGGATGGTTAAGAGAACTGACCAATTCCAGCGGAAAACGTGAGACGTCTTCAATCCTTTGACCACCGGTGCCTCAGAACAATGGCTAGAATTGTGTGGAGTCAGCGAATTCAGATTGGGATTATCGGAAAACAGGTCTTTGGTGAAGCAGAAGGTAAGGTAGCTGGGTTATACTTTAAACATGCCGAGAAGAGCCTTGTTTTCCGTGCCTGGTTCGGAGTGGCAGAATCATAGAAGTGGACAGTATCTGGCATGGCACAAGGTAACGAAGGATGTTCTGAAAGTTCGTATGCTGTTGATGCTGTGCACCTTCCAGTTCGAGGTCAACGTGACCCTTTATGTGCTTGGTGGCTAACCAAGCGGCGTTCGTGCTGTCGGTTTCTATCCAGACTGTCTGACTGAATGTTGGGGGTGCAAACACTTACAACGTTTGTGGTGGACTATCCGTTGGTCTGCTTCCCCGTCCCATTTTTTATTTATTCAGTTAAACTGACACGGCAATGCGGCACTGGTGTTTTTTAGTATTGTCAATGTTGATGATGATGGCGATGGTGATTTTTGTGTCCACAGGGAGCTGATTTCTATGTGGCGACATCATCATCATTGTCAGCTGTAAGAACCGCGTACTCGTCGTACAGTCGTTGTAGCTGCCGCAGTTTCGTTCACCGATGTTTTTTTTTGGGGGGATAGGTACAGTGGGCCGTCAAGTGGGGGGTTGGAAGGCGATAGCTTGAATGCACGAGCGCCTTTGAGGGCGCGACTGGGCCATGTCTGACAATGTCTCTAGCCATTGATGTGGCCCGTCTCGGGGTCCCCATCCAGGAAGACGGCAGTGACCAGCGCAGGTGAGTTTGCTGGTAATGGCCTTCATACTTCGCTGCCAAGTCATTGTTTGACCGCCTCTGGCTCTCTTCCACCCTTCACATGGTTG